GATCCACACCAACAGAAAGGCGGATAAATACTGGGTCTGGCAGTACATTACGGGAAGCAACAATAAGGACGGCTGGAGTGATTGTACGGCCTCATACGAACGGGATACAGGGACCATCATCCATCCGAAACACGCCAGCTACACGCTTTCGCGGAATGCTGATGCATCTCATGATGATCCAGCATATCTCACCACATCGTGGGTAGTCAGGCGACGACGGGACAACGAAATAAAGCGCCAAATGGAAGAGCAAGCTGCAGAAGCGGCGCGTAAAGTTGCTCAAGAACAAGCTGCAGAATTAGCACGTCTCGCAGACGAAGCCCGTAAATCTGCCAACTCTCAGCAATCCGCCAGCGCTCGCGTACCGTGGCGTGCACCCTCTGGTGCTAGCCAACCTTCGAGTTCTAGATCTCGTCGACGCCGTGTAACGATGGAAGAGATAACCGACGATGAAAACTAGGGCAGAGAAGGTGGTACCAACATGGTTGTCAGGTAGACGCACATTGTTGATCTGCTCAATTTGCTGCTCACTTTTATTGCACAGGTTCTGAGCTCATATATACTGAAAGTCGTCAATATATACAATGTACAATGTATACATGGTTGAATTGTTTTTGTCTCTTGCATGCCTTGAAACTGGGCAGAAAGCCGCTACGACACAAGCAGAGGCAGTGTGATGGATACGTCGTCATTCCCATCATACGTGAGTAAGAATTGGAGGGCGGTGTCTACCTAGGGAGGGACCGGGTGGATGAGGTTGATAGGTCCAGGCTTGGTAACTTTACTTTGCTGATGGTTGTGAGAAGCCCAGTAGCGATACCGCGCGTATGGTCTCTGCGTTGGGGTTGTGAGCATGTATACTTCGTTACGGGGCTACGAGATGACAATGCGTACTGGATGGGTAATATTGCGTAACGAATGTAGAAAGCCGGTAGGACGTCACGTTCGAGGATAATAACGGCAAGTGGGACTACTGCCTCACGTCAGTCGTCAAAAATAGACGTAAGATCTAGAAGAGGAGGACGTACGTGGAATGAGCTCTTGCATCG